TGTCCGATGTGTGTATTGGCCTTCTCAGGACAAATATTCTATCCCCTAACAACTATAGGAAAGGGGTAAAGAGGGATACCCCTATAGGTCAATTTATAGAAAAGAGCAAAACCTTAAACATCTCATTGAAGTAGGAGCTAAGAACCTCTGTATCAGGTGAAGAGACAGGAAGGTCAAGAGGGGGAAGGAGAAGATTTGGTAAAGTTCTTGAAGAGAATGAGAGAACTAAACAGGAGGACTAGGCAAGCAAAAGGCATCAGACAAGGCTGAGCACTCAGATGAGGTTGAAAAGATTTAACAGTTACTTTAAAACAGGGTTCATATGTATGACTAGTTGCTTTTTCTTTAGCCCTCTCATACAGAAGTAGAACGACAGACTATGGATTGGGCTGGCATTTTACCAGGGTACAGAAGGAAGACAGGGGCCCAGGAAAGGCCCAACGTTGGGAGTATTTCAGTTAATCTCCTATGAGATCCAGGCTGGATAGGGTAGGAAGGTCAGTCATAAGAAAAATACAAACTCGTGAGACTGCAGAGGCTTGGAAGGAGAAAATGTGTTGGGTGACAGTGAGATGCAGAAGATTGCTAAGGTGACACATCTATAGATGAGAAGGTGGAGGTCCCAGCCTGGGTAAAGGGTGACTGATCTACACCTGGTGATGACCACCGGCATTAAAGGAATCCAGAAGAGATGAGGCTTTTTCTGCTTGTGTAAGTTATCTCCTTATTCAAGTTTGTCTTCACCAGTGAAAACCTCTGAAAGTTGTCAACTTCATTAAGGTAAATTCAGAAGACCTACTTTATTCAAAATGACAAAATGCTTCTAGAGAAAAAGCACCACATGCATGGTCAGGAAATTGAATGCATGATTCTGGATAAATCATGGCATTTCAATGTTTGAGGTAATATAGTCTGTCTGTCCTCTTTACTCCTTAATTCTCTGTCTATAAAGACAGCAACAATATAATCAGCCATATATCTTTTTTTTTTTTTTTTTTTTGAGCTAGAGTCTCATTCTGTCTGTCACACAGGCCGGAGTGCAATGGTGCGATCTTGGCTCACTGCAACCTCCGCCTCCCGGGTTCAAGCAATTCTCCTGCCTCAGCCTCCCAAGTAGCTGGGACTACAGGCGCCTGCCACCTCGCCCGGCTAGCTTTTTGTATTTTTTAGAGACAGGGTTTCCCTGTGTTAGCCAGGATGGTCTCGATCTCCTGACCTCGTGATCCGCCCGTCTAGGCCTCCCAAAGTGCTGGGATTACAGGCTTGAGCCACTGCGCCTGGCCAATTTTTGTATTTTTAATAGAGATGGG